AGCCGCGAGAGTGGACGGGAAGAACTTCAGTGAAGGGACAAGGAGGGCAGTATCTTTTGCCTAGTGCTTCGTCTCTCATCCAACTTGCTCCAGTTGCGATTGCTCCACAAATGCAGTGCAGCACGTCCTTTCTTGAGGGGTTTCTGGCGAGTGGTTGCTTGGCAGTCCATTCCGGTTGCCAGACCTCGTGAATTATTTCCGATGTCTTCGCGGTCCTCATTCACATGCTGATTCCAGCAAGTGCGGCCTTTTGTGAGATTTTCATTACATACACATGGTTGGCGATTAGCGGGCAGTTATTGCTTAAACCTTCAGAAGAGGGTTCCCGCATCATTATGTTTAGAACTCCAGTAGATTATTTGGCAGAATATCACGTAACTTTGTCTCACTTGCGACGCTGTTCATCGTCTAAGAATCGTTCTGAGATCCAAGACGTCGTAGTATGTTCCCGATGTCTTAACTGGGTAGTACGCACATGGTGCCAAAAAGGCGCCGAGGTGTCCGCGGAGTCAAAAATTTATTTAGGTTCTGAATAGTGGATAACAGAGAATTGAATGGAATCCTGCGGAATATGATTTGCGATGCAACTTTCAGGTACCAGTTTTTCTTAAGCGCAAGGACGAACGGTTTTGTTATTCAAGGTAATGAAAGGTGCATTTTACACGTCAGTAGACCTGAATCAGACATGATTTCAAATATGCATTAAAAATAGGTTCCATTAGTCCTGGGTCCATGTTTCAGTCCGTAGACTGTCTGTTGCATTCCATTTCTGTATTTGTTTGCTTCATTCACAAGGCGAAGAAAGTGCCATTGTTGGTCTGTTGTTGTTCTTTACGTCAGTGAGCGCAGCAGCTTGTGTGGTAATCATATGCGGAGTGGTTGGTGAACAGCATGTCTGCTAATTTCGTTAACCGTAAAGAATTATTGCACCACTACGTTAATGTCGAACGCCACCATGGCAGTGAAAACAACAGTGGCATGCTAGACCTGCCACTCTCAAAGCAACCTCATTCCAATTAAGGCCGTCAGCTGGAAATTTGAAACTTTCGGATTGCCCTATTAAAGCGGAAGATCCGAAGAACTTATTTTGCTACTCTCCCAGCTGTTCACTGGTCATGTTATGAATTTTCTGAACATTTTTTTCTGGTTTTCGAGGGTGGGAGATGGATAATTGCAAGACTCGTCTCAGGGCATCGATTTACGATTCGTTTTTCCGTGGACCGTACCAGATGATAGTCATTTAGGGTTCTTATTCAAGGAATAACATGAATATTTATCTCGTTTGAAATCTCGGGCCTTACTACGTAAAGTACGCTAACACACCACTTGCTTTTCTACTTCACAAATGTTTAACTTTATTTTTAAATCAGAGTTCGTGTGGCAGGAGTACTCTTGCTTCACCCACTTTGTAGGTCATCCTGCTAAGGTGATCCTGCTAATGTGCTATAGTGCATTGCCGGTGAAAATCCGGCATCTAGGAGGATTCAGTTTAAGATATAATTATCATTCGGTCAAGCTTAAGTTTATATTTAGGATCACCCGAAGGATTAGAAGACTTAAACTTGATTCCACCGGCGATGTTTTCGCATCTTATTGTCTTCTGGATTGCAGTTTTGTTTGTGGAGTTTCTGCTTAAATAATTCTCGTTCTTGGCATTCTGTTTCCTTGAAGTCAGGTAAGTTTCGGCCATTCGAGGAGGACTCTGTCTGATATTTCGACTCCTGTTTCGCCTGGATCTTTCTCCCTCGGTTGGTTCGTCATTTCGTTACGTATCAGAGACGGAGTAAAGTGCTAAAGTCACTGCATGCCCCGGCAAGAATCATTACTTGACAAAATACATTGGCATTACTGAAGTAAGATATCGAACGACAAGTGTTCGCTGTGTATAGCAAAGTGCCAGACAAAGAACTTCTTTTAAATAGTGCATATATTCTTAAGTTGGTTGATAAGTACATAAAATATATTCACTATTTGAAAGTCCTCCCGTGAAGGCTGCGGTATTATTCGATACTGATTACAAATCATTTATTCAATATTTCCGTGATTTGCTGTTTCATAATGCGTAGACTGGCCTTCTCAGGTCTGTTTTTCGCTGATCTGAGTCACAGTAGTGATCAGTGGTGGCGTTGGTCAGGCTTTCCGTTCAATGGGACGAAAGACAACCGTAATTGCAAAGTCAAGTTACGGAGCCCTTCTGAATTAGGCAAACAATGGTTAAATCTTTGTTGAATGTTCAGATGCTTTTGGCTAATTTCACGCGACTTTTTAATTACTTCCCGTCAAAAGCGTCCCTACTCTACACTTTTAAGTTACTTCTTCAAGCCCTTCTGTTTTTATGTGACTGCTTTTCGCCGTTCACCGTCTGTTCATATTGTGCTTACTTTCAGGGAACAAAGCAGGAAGCTGCATGTATTCTCGGTCAAAGTCGCTCTCGCAACGCTATGTACAGGAAAGTTGCTCGACAAGCTTAGGTGTAAGTGGGAAAGAGGTCGGCCATAGGATTTTTAATCTTGCTTGTTGCAGATATTTTTTCGCAGATTTCCGATAACTCGGGCGTAATGGATTATCGCAAGTTTTGTGAATACCTGCGTGAAGTTCTCGCCTTACCAGCGGCCGTTTTCGAAGGACCAACCTTTTCATTTTCTGAAAACGCTGTCAAGATGTGCTTTGAAGCGGTAAAAGCGACAATGCGGATTTATTTGTACCGATTTAAAAATAATATCTTCTGTACCTTATCACACGTATAAATTATTTCTACAAGAGATATCATCGGTGAATATTTCACAAACCGATGAAGTAAGCATATTAGTTGTTTTAAAGATCTGACGTTTCAGATGAGGTTTCAATGGCAGGTACAGCCTGGAGCTACTGCCTGAGCAAACAAGCACTCTCCGGCGTTTTACCGGCTGAACTATCTTACATCTTCTTCTTCACCTACATCTTCCATCCCCGCTTCTCCGTTCCGGTCGCGGAGGCAGTCACCTCAGAGAGAGCATCCAACGTTCCCGATCCTGTGCCAGATTCTGAGCTTCGGCAAAACACAAATGGAGTCTGGAACAGACTCCTTCCATATGTTTGCACCAGGTTAATCTTGGCCGTCCCCTGGGCCT